GTTCCTGGTAAATTCTTTCAGGTTTTGCTTATCTGAGAATGTTTTTATCTTTTCTTCCCATATGAGGAATAATCTTGTCAGGTATAGTATTCTTGGTTGAAACTGTTTTTCACTTAACACTTTGAATATACTTTCCCAAAGAAACCAAGCCACCAGATCCAGGACTCAAACCGTGATCGGCTATGTGAGAGTATCCATCCAGTGCTTTAACCACCACACCACCTGCTGGTCCCAAGGATGTGCTTCTTAAGTTGCTCTGCCCTGTGGGTTTCTTGTCAGTGATGGCTCACCGTTTTTTGTTTGTTTGTTTGTTTGTTTGTTTGAGAGGTTTTTGCTATAGGGTATGTGTGCTCACCAGAGAGACAGAGAGAGACAGAAAGTGAGAAATCACCCCCTGGAGGGGATGGCCACGCCGCAGTTCCTTCTCCTCCATTCTCCTCTCGGGATTTTGGGCACGTGCGCACACATGCCCAGTGTGAGTTTAAGTCACAGGGTCCGGGACTCGAACCACAGTCAACTGTGTGGGAGTCCAGCGACATAGCCATTACGCTAACTGCTGGTCCCCTCACTGGTAGTTTTTATAGCTGAAAATTTTATACTCAATTTTGTTCTTTTTTAAAAAATTATTTTATTTAATAAATTTATTTATTTAATTTGATCAGAGGACAGAGCAAGAGAGAGAGGAAAAGTGAAAAAGCAAGTCGCCAGGTCCAGGACTTGAACTGCCATGGGGAGTCCAGCATCCTTAACCACCACACCACCTGCTGGCCCCTCAATTTGTTCTCTATCTGTAATTTTTATATCAACCTTGGTATAAACCTAGATGGATTTGATTATAATTTTTTTCACTGTTACTACTCTAGTCACTTATTTTCATCAGAATAAAAGGTAGTTTCTGATGCCTTTGGCATGAATTTCTCAAATAGAGAGGAGGATTTGGGGATGATGTCCCTTTGGTAATATGACTGCTTTCTTGCATGGTGATTTGCTTCCACTTCCCAGGTTTTGAGGATAATAGGCAGTCAGAAGGTCTGCATGCCAAAAGCAGAAGACACTTGGGAATTTTTCCATCATGAACTTTAAATTGGAGAAGTTTATGATTGGCTGGATTACAATATAGAAAGTGGATGTCTTAACAGTAAAGTAAGTAGAGTTTGAAATACAAAAGAATGGAAGCTTCTATCTGAAAATGTTTGTAGGGGGAAAACACATTTTCTTTTTATGGGTTATTCTGTTCTAGGAAAACACCATCAACCCAGTGAGACGCAGAATGTGATTGCATCAGACAAAGCAGCAGAAGTCCCCGTCGTCCATGAGCATGAGCATAGCCATGACCACACACAGCTGCATGCCTACATCGGAGTTTCCCTCGTCCTGGGCTTCGTTTTCATGTTGCTAGTGGACCAGATTGGCAGCTCCCATGTGCATTCTACCGATGGTGAGTGTTTCCAACACTCTCTGGGCAGTGCAATAAATTTGCACTTGAGAAAGTAACAAACAATTGAATAATTCGGTCTGTCACTAGCCTTGTATAGGGCCAAAACTCTTGCTTTCCTCAGGTTCCAGTGATGACATAATCATCTGGGGGAGCCAGTGAGTTGTGCATGTAGCACAAGGACATGTTTATTAATTTATTACCTTGCTTGTTTCAGAGTTTTCACATTTGGTTGCAAGTCTAGGGTAGAGGTTCTCAACCCATTTTTATGCCATGGAGTCCTTAGCTAGTTTAAAGCCCATGGACCTTTTTTTTTTTTTTAATGCATAAAGCATAAAGCATAGTACTAGGATTACAGAGCAAACCAGTTACATTGAAATATAGTTACCAAAACATTAGAACAAATTTGTGGTATGGTATTGTATGTCTTCTTTTCAGTATATTAAATAACAAGGTTATACATTTAAATCCTAAGCAAGTTAGAGATGATTCTTTGTTGTTTATAGTCAGTCTGGGAATATAAGACATATTTAAGTGAAAACAGTTTTTCTTTTCTTTGTTGGTCTTTATTTTATTTATCATTATTGTTATTTTTAATCATTAAAAACAATCATCATTATTTTTAATTTGACCATAGCAAGATATACAGAGAGACAGAAAGCAAGCAAGCAAGCCACCAGGTCTAGGACTCAAACCATGGTCATCCATGTGGGAGTCCAGTACTTTTAACGACCACACCACCTGCTGTCCCCAGAAAAGTGACAGATTCTTAACTAGTTAACCAATGCATCTGAAGGGTGCTGTTTCCAAAAGGTGAATCTGACAAGAATGTGTAAGATGAGTTAGATTAGGGAAAAACTAGAGTAAGGGAAAACCAGTGGAAGCCTATCACTAATTTAGGTATGGGTTGGTGAAAATTTGGGTTAGGATCCTGGCAATAAAATGGAGAAAGGCAAATATGATAAAAGTTACAATGAAAATAAAATTGCAGATGGGTAGGGAAGAGGAAGAAGTAGATGATGAATAATTACATTGGTCTGGAAAGAAGTATCCAGCCATGGAGCGTTTTTTTCATGGAGTGGTAGAGATTACGGGCTGTGAGGCAGTCAAGGCAATTGAGGGTTGTGCATTTCAGCAATTTGTCTGTTAGGGAGAGCTGGGTCAAATGAAGAGTTCTTGCCTACTCATCTTTTCACACTGGGGAAAGTGTGAAACAGAAAGAAAACAGTGTGGAAAATAATAAATTACTGCTTTTAGAACTTTCACAAAATTCTACCTTAACACCAGTGTTTGAACAGTTTCTGTCTCACATTGCTTAATGCTGTCTTTCTCATTTTCACTTCAGATCCAGAAACAACAAGACCTAGCAATTCCAAAATCACCACCACACTGGGTCTGGTCGTCCATGCTGCAGGTAGGGTTAGATTTCTGTGGAACCACCTTTCTTGTCACACAGGAGAAGATTTAGTCATCCATATTCACATTACAAGAACCTTACATGGATTGCTCTTAGGCTGGCCTTCAAAGGAAAGCTTAATGAAATCCTCCAACACAAGTACAAACCCTGGCATGTCAGGGGTTTGCAAATGATTAAGAAAAAAAGAGAAGAATATTTTGCGGCACATAAAAATTTTGTAATTCACATTAATAAAGTGTTGAGGGAACATAGCCATGCCCATATGTTTATGTACTAAACTAAACTACTTTTGCGCAACAATGACATGGTTGAATAGTTGCAAGAAACCAAATGACCTGCAAAACCTAAAATATTTACTGTCTGGTCCTTAAGAATTAAATCAGTTGCCCTCTACCCAAGATTCTCATCTGGAAAAGAGCCTTGGCATTTTTATACTGAATAGCCCTGCTACCCAATGTATACCCAGAGTAGCAGTTTAAGGAGATGTGGTATGTAGAATGCAGACGTATCAGCATTGCTGACAGGGCACATCTTAGAATCATTTCCCCCAACCAGTAGTAGGATTCTGTCAGTGACTAAAATATGCGTAATGTACCTGACTAGTACAACATGCCTTTCTAGCAGAGCTTAACCTTTCAGCCAATATGTACTCATTATGTATAAATTATCTATGTAAAGTTCTAGTAGCTTTATTTATTTATCTATATGCTATCATGAACTTTTATTTATTTATTTTTCTCCTGAAACTTTTTTCAATTAATTAATTTACATTCATCTCCTAAGCATCATCACAGCATACAAAATGTGGTTTCCCATCTAGAATATAATGTATAGTGACTTAATCATGCACATTATCGTCAATAATTTTCCATTTCTAATATGTATATATATTTACCCCTATGTCTGACCCTCTGCCCTTTCCCACCCTCTTCTCATGCTATCTGTGGTGTCTACAGTTGTCTTCCATTCCTTCCCCCCCACACACATTTTAATGATCACACAATTTCTTAAATAATCTAACAACTTTCATAGCAAGTTTGACTGGTAAATTCAAGAAAAGCAGTGTTGAAATGGTAAGGAGCTTTGCTTAAAACTTAAAGCCAAGGGAACCAGCAGTTAGCGTTAATGGCTATGTCACTGGACTCCCACGTAGTCGACTGCGGTTCGTGTCCTGGACCCGGTAGCTTAAAACTCACGCCGGGCACGTGTGCGTGCGTGCCCAAAATCCCGAGAGGAGAATGGAGGAGAAGGGATTGTGGCGTGACCATACCCCCTGGGGGGTGATTTCTCGCTTTCTGTCTCTCTGTCTCTCTCTGTCTGTATGGCAAGCGCACGCGCCCTATAGCGAAAACCTCTCCAAAAAAAAAAAGAAAACACTTAAAGCCAAGGAAATAGGTTAGGATTCTGTTAAAATAGTAGGCACATGAAACTATCGACAGCTCAAGACAGGACAAAAACCCTTAAAACCAAACAACAAAGCCTAGAAGAAAAGCAGCAATATTTTAGTCAAAAGTCACAGAATGCTATTTTACCAGTTAAGTCTCATGTACTTAATCTATCTTCTGTTGTGGTTTGATCTTCCCGATTGAATTCTGGGATATAATATTCAACTCCAGACTTGTCCCTACGATCAAGTTGGCCATTTTCTTAGTTTTTAAACTCTTATTTCTATGTGTTTTATTTCATTTTCCTGGCACTCCCCTTCAGAATTTCTTGGAGATCTAGTCTGCTGTTGGTAAACTCTTTCAGGTTTTGTTTATCTAAGAATGTTCTTGTCTTTTCTTCCCATATTAAGGATAATTTGCCAGGTACAGTGTTCTTGGTTGAAATTGCTTTTCTTTTAACACTTTGAATGTATTTTCCCATTCTTTCCTGCATTGTTTCCAATGAGAGGTCCGGTGTTAGTCTGATGGGATGATCTTTGTAAGTTACTTCTCGTTTCTCTCTTGCCAGTTTTAGTATCATGTCTTTATCTTTGGTCTTAGACAGCCTGCCTAAGATGTGCCTTGGGGAAGATCTTCTTGGGTTGATTCTATTTGGGGGCCCTTTGTATTTCTTCAGACTGGATCTTTGAATGCCTCTCTAGGTTTGGAAAGTTTTCTGTCAGGATTTCATGGAGTAGATTATCAATGCCCTTATGAGTCTCTTCGCCTTCTGGAATACCAATTATCTGGATGTTTGGACATTTGATGGTATCTAATATTTCTTGTATATTCTCATTTTTGCAATTTTCTCAGTCTTCATGGTGGATTTTTCTAGGCCAGCGATTCTATCTTCTACATCTGAGATTCGATTTTCTGTATGATCTAGTCTGCTTTTAGTACTTTGAGGGGAGGTTTTGACTTCCTGTATTATGCCTTTCATCTCTAACAAGTCCATTTGATTCTTTTTTATGATGTGTATTTCCTCTTTCCGATTTTGCAAGAATTTCCTCGCCTCCTGGAACTCATCAGCTCCTTTCTCCTGCCTTTTCTGCAGTTCGTTGTCTCTCTTCTCTTCCAGCTCTGTTAGCTTTGTCACTATGAATATTCTAAATTCTTTATCAGACATTTCCATGAGTTTCATTGTACTGTCTGAGGATGAAGAGGAGTTATTCTTTTTCCTTAGAGGAGAGGTATTTTCTTGCTTTCCCATATTTCTCATAACCCTGAGGTAATTTCTAGTCATCTGATGGATGGTTCCTAATTCTTGAAGTTCAATCTGAGCGTTCAGAGGCATGCAGGAAGAGGGGATCTGCAATCTTTCTTCCATTCAATTTTTCACTCTTTGTGTATCAGATTCAGTGGGAATTGAGGACTATTCTGACCCTAATTATATTCAGATGTTTGGATCCTGTTCATTTGGACATGTCTAGACACTCAGTGTGTAGAGGCCACTAGAAATGTATCTGGAGGGAGAAGTCTCAGCAGAAAATCTTTATTTTTAGTCAATGAAAGCAGTATTTCACAGCTCAAGTTCAGTACCCATCTCAGGATGGCCTGGGTTTGTGCTTTTCCCACTAGAAATGAATCTGGAGGCAGAAGTCTTAGCAGAAAATCTTCAACTTTAGTCAATGGAAGCAATATTTCACAGCTCAAGTTCAGTAGCCATCTCTGAACACTTTTTTTTTTAAAGAATTATTTTATTTAACTTTATTTATTTACTTATTTATTTTAATTTTGACCTGAGAGGTACAGAGCAAGAGAGAGAGAGAGAAAATGAGAAAGCAAGCCACCAGGTCCAAGACTCGAACTGCAGTCGGCCATGTGGAAGTCCAGCGCCCTTAGCCACCATGCCACTTGCCGGCCCCAATTATCTCTGAATTCTTAATAATGCAGTCCATGGTCTTATTCTGAAATACTTGTATCACATATATTAGAGCACTATTGCCCACTAAATACCAATGTACTTTTAACCTTTTATTTATTTATTTTTGAGAGGTTTTCGCTATAGGGCACGTGCGCTCGCCAGACAGAGAGAGACAGAGAGACAGAAAGCGAGAAATCACCCCCCAGGGGGGATGGTCATGCAGCAATCCCTTCTCCTCCATTCTCCTCTCGGGATCTCGGGCACGCACGCACACGCGCCCAGCATGAGTTTTAAGCCATCGGGTCCGGGACGCGAACCGCGGTCGACTACGTGGGAGTCCAGCAACATAGCCATTATGCTAACTGCTGTTTCCCCTTTTAACCTTTTATAACCCCCCCCATTTCCATTTATTTTGTTTCTTTATCTGTAAAATGAAGATATTCTTCCTTTGAAATTCTTCACTATTTCCACAATTACAATTTGATTAATTAATAGGTTTCTGGGCATCATTTTTTCCAGTAGCAATAAAAACAAGAACCAACATATTGAATACTCTGAACCAAGTGCTAAGCTCTTTACATAAGTTATCTCATTTAATCCTCATAAAAACCCTAAGAAAAATTATTGAACCTATGTGAAAGATGAGAAGGCTGAAGTTTAGGAAGGTTTCCAAAGTCAAATCCAACTCTGTCTCTAAAGCTTGCCACATTCAGTGTTGTTATTTATAGTACTGTATGTTTCACTTTTCCCAAATTTAGCTGATGGTGTTGCCTTGGGAGCAGCAGCTTCAACTTCACAGACTAGTGTCCAGTTAATTGTGTTTGTGGCAATAATGCTACATAAGGTAAGCAAAATTTTGGTATAAGATTTTATACTGAATTATATTCATAATTAAAATTTCTCTTGGTCCTTAATGGTTTTCCAGAATAGGAACTTTTTTTTTTAGTTAGGATCATAATTGTTATTCATTTTGGAAAATCGAATAAGCCTGCTCAGAGCTCTTTTAGTGTATTTTATTCATGTTGGAGAGCATGCACATGAGAAAGAGAAAGAATGAATCACCTTCAACAGAGTCTCATCATAGGGCGATCCCCTTTCCCCAGCCCTCCAGGTTGTCAGAACCTTAGGCACGCAAACATGGGCCTCATATCTTTACAGGACAACCCAGAGAGTTGAACCCACAGTCAGCCATGTGGCTTCTAGTGCCACAGTTCAGTTTACTATTAGCTACGTTACCAGACAGGACCTGTAGCTATTTTTTGCTACCATTTTATTAAAACTTTTACTTCAAGATTCTCTCTCTCTCTCTCTCCTCCTCTCCCTCCGTCCTTCTCCTTCTCCCTCCCTCCCCCCTCCCTCTTCCTTCCCCTCCCTCCCTCTCCCTCTGTCTCCCTCGCTGTGTGTGTGTATGTGTGTGTGTGTAGGGCATGACTGGGAGTGGTCATATGTATAGTCTGTTAAATTCTCTACAGATTTATCTATATTATAGTAATTTCTGTTCATCAGTGTTTTTCTTTTATTGACTGTTTCCTACTACCCAACACACACACACACACACACACACACACACACACACACAAGGTATTTTCTTAGCTTCGAACATTAATTACTAAAAGGCAGAGTTTAGTCTCGTTGATATGCCTGGTTTCTTTGTATGAGAATTCTTACTCAGATGACTTAGACTTCTTGATATAGAAGCAGTCCATACTTATAAGTGATAATGGGGATAATTTTTCATTTCTAGGCACCAGCTGCTTTTGGGCTGGTTTCCTTCTTAATGCACGCTGGTCTGGAGCGGAACCGAATCAGGAAGCATTTGCTGGTCTTTGCACTGGCAGCGCCAGTTATGTCCATGGTGACGTACTTGGGACTAAGTAAGGTAAGTCTGACTGGTTCTTGGCTTACTTGGACAAGTGTCTAGTTCTTTTGTGATATATGAGAACTTAAAATCTCTTACGCTGAATTTTTCCAACTAAGTTACCCTCTCAAACTAGAAGATAAAATTTAGAGTAATACCTCTACAAGGGAAATTACCTTAATTCTAATTCGGTCCTCTTCATAAATTTCACATTTCCTTATTCATTTATTTTATTTATTTATTTATTTATTTATTTTTGGAGATTTTTTTTGCTATAGAGCGCGTGTGCTCGCCAGACAGACAGAGACAGAGAGACAGAAAGCGAGAAATCGCCCCCCAGGGGGTATGGCCATGCCACAGTCCCTTCTCCTCCATTCTCCTCTTAGGATCATGAGAACGCATGCACACACACCCAGTGTGAGTATTAAGCCACCGGGTCCAGGACGCGAACCACGGTCGACTACATGGGAGTCCAGCAACATAGCCATTGCACTAACTGCTGGTCCCTTCCTTATTAATTTAATTTGAAGACTTCTTCCCTTGTCAGTTCCAAGAGTATTTGCAGAAATTTATGATAGTAGTTATGCCAGATGGTGGTATAGTAATAAAACACAACATTCTGTGAGGCTCGTCCACATGGGAAGGTTCTGGATTCATGTCTGGAGACATCCCTGAGTACACTGGGCATGCTGAAAAGTTTGAAAAAAAAAATTTTTTTTTTTGAGAGGTTTTTGCTATATGGTGCATGCACTCACCAGAAAGACAAAGAGAGACAGAGAAATAGAAAGCGAGAAATCACCCCCCAAGGGGGGATGGCCATGCCGCAGTCCCTTCTCCTCCATTCTCCTCTTGGGATCTTGGGCATGCACACACAAGTGCCCGGCGTGAGTTTAAGCCACCGGGTCTGGGACTCGAACCAC